TGCAATTCTTGAAAAAAATAAATACTACAAAAAATCTAACATAAAAATAAAAAAAGTATAATAACACAAATTATCTAAGAAGCAAATAAAGGATGAAACAAAGTTACCCGAAAAAAGTTCTCAAAGTAGTCCGTCGGTGAAAACTGATTCTACGTTCTTCTTCTCAAATTGCTCCTTTAATATCTCGACAATGGCGCTGAAAATTAATTGATTCCCAAAAGTTACATCGAAGTACAGGTGATAAAAAAGTAATAAATACTCGGTGAAGTTTGAAATTGAACCATAAGGATTAAAAAAGATTTAAGAAACAAGATAAAGGAAGAACAAATTTGATTTTTGTAAAGTTTGAACCGGATGAAAAGCAATGCTAAATAAATTTAAGCTAAATATCAATTGGAAGAATGACCCTCTAACTTTGGGATCTAGATCGATTCATATATAGAAAATTATATTTATACATTCGTCATTATCTCAATTGATTATTAAATTAATGTAGTCAACTAAAAGATTTAACTTTGAAACACAATTAGTTTGATCGATATGAAAATAAGAATTGAAGAATTAGTTTCATAAAACTTGCAAAAAATTGTAAGTATTGAATGTACCAAGAACTCAATTTTATTAATACACAATAAAATAATTGTACATAATATAAAACTTTAGTGTGGCATTCAATCAATCTTGAAAAATATAAAGATTTAACATTAAATTCAAGAAAATAATTGCATGACCATAATACTCAAATAAATAATTACAAATTCATACCCTAAACTAAAGAGTACAAGAAGAACTACTGGTGATAGGTAGATCTCATAAGAATAAACAAAAGCTATAAAAGATTAAAAGAAAGGATTCCTGGAATGAAAAGATGTCCTATTAGTGACAATGTTCTTCATTCCTTGCCCTCCATCTCGAAAATCCAAGAATCCAGGCCCTACTCTCTGTCCTCTCTCTGTCTGTTCACCTGTGCATGGATTCTTTATGTGTGCAAGTGTAGAGAGTGGAATCTGATGAGCCCGATGATGAGTGGGCCAAGCCTAATTTAATTAAACCGAGAAAGTTCAAAGAAAATTCCAACCGAAGCCGGAACAACCTAAGAAAGGCCAACGTCTAAGAGGCGAACGTCCAAAAGGTCCACACCTAAAGTACCAAGAGCCAACGCCCAAGCACTTGGGGCGCCACCTAGGAGTTCACCCAAGCCAGGTGCCCCCCAAGGTCACCCTCTTGTTCTCCTACGTACTTTTGACTCTGATGCAAGCCCAAACCTACTCCGATTCAAGTTCAAGGTCAAGACCAAATCCAGGACCAAGCTCAAGATCAGGATCATCTTTCAACGGAATAGGGACACGAGCGAGGGAATATTAGGATATGGAGATCAAATCCTACTAAGATTGTACTTACCAAAATTGTGGAAGACTTCTCACTCACGTCACCGCCTTACCCTCACTATATAATGTACGCCCACTCAGTATTGAGAGCACGCCTTCGAAGCCTCTATACCTCCCCGTATACACCCTAATTTCTCTTTCTCTAAGCACTATAATACTTCAGGAGCATACTCTCTCGGTGACATTATTCATCAATAAAAAACCTAGACCACCGCTGTCGTTCTCGAGAGTGGAGTAGGTCACCCAGACCGAAACACTATAAATCTTTGTGTTGACTCATTATTTATTGTTTTATCATTAATTGCTTGTTTGATACCTATTGATAACACTCGTTACATATTCTTAATATATTCAATTATTAATTTTGTGCAATATCAATTTGTGCATCATTAGAATCAACAGTGGGATTGATGAAAGAATGGTTTTGTGAAAGACAAAGAGTAGATTTTGTTCTTGGGTCACTTGGGTCCACATAATAAAGCCATTCATTTTCTCTTGCATACTTGAAGATCACTTGGTGGTTCTGCGATCCCTCCATACTATTTAAAGTTTGAGAAAATCTCATTTTGTCTGTTGAAAGATACAAAAATTTTTAACTTACCCTCCGAATAATTAATTGTCATATTACCCCCTTAAAGAAATAAAAACATTACAAAGTGTTCTAAAAATATTTTCATTGCAACATTTGTGGAAACATATTACAACATTTTTGGACCACATTACAACACTTTTATTTCTTTGAGGGGCAATGTGAAAAAACTAATTAGGGGTAAACTAAGAATTTTTTTATCTTTTAGGGGACAAAATGGAATTTTCCCTTAAAGTTTTCCAAACAATTGAAGTGACAGAAAATGAATCTCATGTCCTTTTTCTTCTCTCCCTTCCTATTTTTGCCTTCTTTTTCTGTATGGAAATTTTGTCTATTTTTTTTGTGGGTCCATCATTTACCAAAAAATTCTTTGTGGGCTTTGCTGTACTTGGCAGTTTTGCTGCAACGTTTTACCAAAATTCATAGCCTTGGGGTTAATCTGGTTTGAATTAAAATTGATTTTGTTGTTTTTTTCTTCAATTTGTTATATTTTTTGTGCTCATTACCATTAACAGCATCAAATATATTTTGTTGTGTGATTATATCGTCGTACCACTCAATCAATCGAAATTATCCAATTCTTAGTACCGAGATGATTTTGGACGAAGTTACATTTTTTGTTTGGTCTTTATCTCTGTTCTTTTTTCAAATTGTTTTGCTTCAATTCTTCAAAAGTCCTAGAAATTACTCTTTGCAGATCATGTTTTTCGTTTCTCTCAGGTGCAATTGTTTGTGGATTATGATTATGGTTGCAATTGAACAAATCCAGAGAAACTGGATCAATCAATAAAAAAGAAGCCAAGAAATGGCAGAGTATGAAGACAAGTCTCTGTTACTCAAAAATATTTTTCATCCTATTTTTTTTTATTGCATTTCCTGTCATACTAAGATTATCTCCAATGGAAACCGAAATCCTTTTTCAAATTTGAGTTTAAAAAAATGATAAAAAACTTGATTTGATATAGATTTCTTCAATAGAGAAACTCAAATTTAAAAAAAGACACCCAAATTTAAAGAGGACAAACTCAATTTTAAAAAAATGTAAAATATGACCATTAATCTTTTAAAAGAGGGTGAAATCTCACCAATAAAGATTTGTGTATAGATTTGAAACTCCTTTGATTTGAGTAGAAAAATGAGTCTCTCTTGATCTCATATAAGTTTAGGTATAAAATTGAAAAAAGCTTTTAGGAGGTTTTTTATTTAAATTTAAATTTGGGTTTAAAAAAAGGTAAAGATTAGAGATTTTGGGTTCCTAAGACCATCTTCAATAGAAACTCAAACCATTACCCCAACTTTAAGAGGAAAAAAAAAATTAAAAAACTTGATTTGATATAGACTTCTTCTCCAATGGAAAAATTCAAATTTAAAGGAAGACAAATCTAAATTTAAATGAGGATAAATTCAAATTTAAATAAGGCTAAAATATGACTATTAGATCTTTAAAAGAGGGTGAAATATCACCATTAAAAATTTAGGTATGAATTTGAGTAAAAAAAATGATTCTTCATTGATTTGAAATGAGTTTAGGTATAGCATTTAAAGAAAGTTTTTCAGTGTTTTTTTATAAATTTAGATTTGAGTTAAAAAAAAAAAAATTAATAATAAGAGATACATTTGAAGGTTTGGTTGACGGTGCATTTGAAGCCACTTTGAGCGATATGATGCTTTGATTTCAAAAAATGAGGAAGTTGAGTTTCTTAAGATTTCAATTTTCTTGGGATAATTTGTTTTGAATTGCTTATTTTTAATTTCTGTACCGTGCCGGATTATTACCCGTACCTATATTGATTTTCTATTTTATCTATAATTATTATTATAATAAAGTCAATTATACCAATTTATATATTGTCATCTAATTTTATTTTTTAAACTTATTTCACTTATAACTTATTTTAGACTCTTTTATAAAAACTTCTAAATTCTTTTGAACTTATTTATTAATAGTACACTTATATACAATTATCTATATCTATATGAAGAAGTAAAATCCTATACAATCAAATATGTGTTATATTTATTTTGTATGCAATAAGATAATACTATTAAAAGTGATTTACTAAACCTATTTAATAAAATAAAATTCAATAATTCTGTAATATATAAGTAGATGTCAAAGTGTCTAAAACGATCAAAGAAATACCTAAATAAACAATAAATTAGATACTCAAAAACATAGAGTAAATAAATAATTAAATTTAGCAATATTTAAAATATGAATTAATTATTCGACACTTAATTTATTATTTAATTAAATTACATATATAATTTAAATTTCTAATGATTATTTACTTATAATGCACATTATGCATTGCTAATGTCTATAAATATGTGGATATATGTACCTATCTTCTAGAGAAGCACGAAAAGAGGTATCCAGCAAGTCCAGCATTTCGGTACGGACAAATCGTCTTGTTTAACACACAGCTCGGATTGATATTTACACCTGAGCTCGTTAACACATCACAAGAGGTTGTTTGGTTACAGTATTAAAGGGTAAATTACAAAGTGATAATATATTAAAACTCTCTAATCCGACTTTATATTACATTTAATTGCAAAAAACACTTTAAATTATATATAGTCTTATTCAAATACTTATCCAAATAATACATTTTATCGATACTATTGAACCGATTATAATACTACATTTAATTCAAGCATATTAAGTTATAAATTTACTATTTTTACCTAATAGATAAACAAAAATATCAATAACTAGACAAATTTGATAATTTTTTAATCAATATGTAATTGTTACTCTATTATCCCACTCTTAATCTAATGTCACTGAATTATAATGCGTAATATTTTTGTCATATATATTTAAACTTGTATTTAATTCAAACCCAAATCATAAGCCAAACTTAAAACAGTGTCATTGATTCTTCCCAGCGACAGCATAAAGGAACAACTACTCAAATTCCATGCATTTAATATTTGAAAAAACAGCCTTGGGGGTGGTTGATAAAAACAACAAGAGTTAAAGAGTATAAAATAATCTAATTCTTATTCGAAGCAGTATGGTGTTGGCCAAACAGAGAGGTGCAGGGAAGTGAAAAGGGAAACTTACATGGATAGATATAGTCTCTCTCTAGGTCTGCAGCTGCTGCTGGTGCCGGTGGGCATCTGAATCTGAAGAGCAATCTGCTGTGCAGTCAGTGTACTACATCCGATACAAGCAAATGTCCTCCGAGTGAATCCTATCCCCACATGACTGCACATGATGATTCTCTCATCGCAGCTGCTTTAAAATCCGATTATGTCAACTCAAAAGACAGAGGTGTTTATTCGGTACCAGATATTAAAGGCGGCACCTCTTCTAAATATAATTCTTACTACGGCTGGGAGTCTACTTCTGGTTCAGCTTCAGGTTATCATAGGTAATTGGAATTATTCAAATGCCTCTTTTTCACACCCCTACAACCTAATTCACCCATAACAGATATCTTCGGTATAGAAATTATGGTCTTTATGTCATTACTTCACTATTCTACCCTTATTGTGGGGATAGTAATGGACCAAATAATGTCGGTGCGAAATATGCAAAGATAAACAATAATTAAAAACCAGAAGAACAAGAAAGTACTTAAAAAATGTTAGAAACAATACCATCTGACTCAAATTCCATTTCTTGAAGTACAGATTTAGCAACTACATGGACAAATTTTCAGGGGGACAAAACTACCTCACAGTCGACAAGCACGGCAAAGTGAGCCTTCGTTCATTAAAGTCACTGGAAAGTTTGGCAGAGGCAGATTGGAAATCCATCAATCCACCCAAAAACCTAAACCACCATGAATTCCGATTCTGGGTCTCTCGCAGTACTGAAAAATGCCTTGCAGTCTTTGAAGGGAAGACAAAGAAACGAACAGTGGGTGTTGCTGAATGCAAGTTTGATGGCTCTAAACCTGACCNACATTCTTTGAAGGGAAGACAGAGAAACGAACAGTGGGTGTTGCTGAATGCAAGTTTGATGGCTCTAAACCTGACCAGCTCTTTGCCTTCCGTTTCCATTACCATAAATCCTTCTGCTGTTGCGGTCTTCACAATGAGTAATTTCTCGAATATATCCAACCATAGCAGCCTATCATTGTAGAAAATATATTCAAATATTCAAGGAATAAAGGAAATCTGCCGATTATCTATCATGTAGAAAATGACTCAGTTTGATAAGTTGAATCTACGGATTCAATGATTTGTGGGAATAAAAGAAGATACTCAAGGTAAAGTTTATAAGACAACTAAAATTTCAGTCGTGCGATACTTAAATTCAGGAAGCAGAGTATGGTGATTTACTTAGTATGCTCCACAAGATTACAACTTCAATAAGGATTAAATATCTAATCTCAAACACACGACCTACCAGCCATAATAACAAGGCTCAAGTGTGTTATAGGAAGTGTTGAAAAACCCTAGTATTTCTCTACAAACATTATGACACATGGAACCATCTCATGTAAGCTAGTCTGCAGCGCCATATGAATGAAGCTATAGAAGATAGAAAGTGTAGTCCTGGCATAAATAGAGTAGGCTGTAAGAAGCTGGATGGCTGACATACTACAGCAGTATCTATACACATTCTCTTGGCAGTTGCATATAGTTAGAGCATTCACAACTTCTATTTTAGCAATGTTCACTGTTGACTGGAACCATAGGAATCAATTCTTCGCTATATCCAATGTTATTCAAACAAGGAGGCTTGGCTGCTCCGTAATAAAAGAATGCCATCATTTTTGACAACTCATCTGCAGTTCGAATTGCTGAACACCCAATAAAAGAAAATTAGAACTCAAATAATGACTCAAGTTTAAGTCAAGTGGTAAATAATGTTATCTTACAGCATCTGAGATTACCTTTCTCACGGTACAAAATCCTTCCAGCTTTAGTGAAGATAAGCTCTGGGAAGACAGATACATGTAGAGCAGTGGCCACATCAAACTCCACGACGGCATCAATTGCAACACACTGCTTGGTAGGGCAAACCATAAAATGTTAAGAAAGGAAATGAGGGTCAAAAAAGACGTAAGCTTTACTTACCCTTGGTGATGGTAGCCTGCAGTTCCATATGATCTGTACAGCTTTCTCCAATTCATTCCTAATCTTTTCATTTAACTTTGGTCTGCAGTAATTCAGATCGTATTCATCAAGAAATTAAAGCCTAATACCATGGAAGAAGCTTCAAGTCTGATGCAGTGTATTTTGGAAGCTTCAAATGCATCAAACAGATCAAAATGCATGCATATATACATACATACATACATATATACATACATACATATACTTGTAAATATGTATATAAACATGCGTATACGTATGTATATATATATTCAGAGTAAACAAAAAATAAACTTAAACTAGCCCAGTTACTCTCACAAAACCACCCATGGTAAATCTGCAAAGTGAAGATTACAAAGACAATAACCATCCTCACCCTTTTTTAAAGTTTCATGGTCAGTCCTACTTCATAGCTACCACACGTACCAACCTCTACGTGCCAAATGAGAAGATCAATCACAGATTCAACATGTAAGATAAGATGACCATAGCTCCAAGATACAAATGCAGGTGGGACACATCTCCATGACCAGGGAACCTTAAAAGAAGACAACAGCCAACAACCAAACAAAAGCTAGTGGTCTGATATTCTATGGATCAGAAGCTACCTCTGCATGTGTGAGAGAGAGAGAGATTCATTAATTTAACAGTTGACAAAATTGTAGATTTATGGTGATATCCTCTGATATATTGGGCTTTGCACCTGATCGTCTATCACAAATGTGCTTCATCTTTTCCTCCGGAAGTGTAACTTGAAGCCTTTCACAAGTCCTTTCTTTCGTCTACATTATTTCCATAAAAAAAAAAAACACAAACAATCTAGGGTTGATAGGTAAGAATCTCACAAATCTATTTTTCATTCTTTTCTGTTTGTCAATCATCAAAAACAATTTATAGACTGATACACTCATGCTAAGAACAAGTTTCATGACCATCCAACATTTTTCCCTCGGTTATAAAGGGTGGAGCCACCAATGGGCCAAGGGGATACCTAACCACCTTGAATTTTTTAATATATTTTATGGTGCCCACCTTATGACTTTCTTGTTGCAATAGTGACTTTTTGATCATATGAGCAGCAATTGGCATGTAATCGCATTTTCATTGTTTTTTATTGTGCTAATGCCTTGTGCAACTGGTCTTGACTTGCATATTTACGGCATTTTTGGTTTCTGAAATTACTTGTAATTAACGTGCAATTGACCTCTATTTTTCTACGACTATTGATTGTGGTGGTGGTTGTGTTTCAACCAGATTTAAATGGGTACTGTTATGCTTGCCTCTTGAATTTTTATTCAATGGCTTTGGCATTTTCTCCTAATAACATATTTTTTTGATAGGAAAAGATAGATTATTACTAAATTGAGAGTATAAATAGTACATGAGAGGACCCAAAAAATATATATATATATTCAAACCTAGAAGTCATTTGGGAAAGTCAACAGTTGCAGGAAGCCAAATATGAGAATCTCTATGACTCGATTCTACAATAAACGAGGGCACTAAAATAACAAGCAGATTTAGACAAAAATGCTTAAAAAGTAAAGCCAAGGGACATAGATAAAAGAGTATCAGACACGTGTCTCAGAGTGTCCAAGAAGCGTGTCGGACACAGATATGTTACCTTCTTGAGAGTGTCCATGCTTTATAGACACAACTGGAGCTTTATTGCCTAAAATTGCCTTATCACAGATACTTCATAACNCCAGAGTGTCCAAGAAGCGTGTCGGACACAGATATGTTACCTTCTTGAGAGTGTCCATGCTTCATAGACACAACTGGAGCTTTATTGCCTAAAATTGCCTTATCACAGATACTTCATAACACCATGACTGACTCTTTCAGGCCATTATGTCATGTGGGAAACTAACAGCAAAGTGTTCAACATAAATGGGAATACAAAGCAAAAGAAAAAAAGGAACAAAAACTAACCTTTTATAACGATTATGTACAAGCAGAATCAACGGACTGATGTCCTTGAACACAGTCTCTTCCCATTCTTTAGTGTTGATGTCTTTGATTGGACGAATATAATCATCATCTTGCCAAACCAATTCATTTTCACTATCATAATTCTCATCATCATCCTTCTTGGCATTCTTAANGGTTTCATGGTCAGTCCTACGTCATAGCTACCACATGTACCAACCTCTACGTGCCAAATGAGAAGATCAATCACAGATTCAACATGTAAGATAAGATGATCATATCTCCAAGATACAAATGCAGGTGGGACACATCTCCATGACCAGGGAACCTTAAAAGAAGACAACAGCCAACAACCAACAACCAAACAAAAGCTAGTGGTCTGATATTCTATGGATCAGAAGCTACCTCTGCATGTGTGAGAGAGAGAGAGATTCATTAATTTAACAGTTGACAAAATTGTAGATTTATGGTGATATCCTCTGATATATTGGGCTTTGCACCTGATCGTCTATCACAAATGTGCTTCATCTTTTCCTCCGGAAGTGTAACTTGAAGCCTTTCACAAGTCCTTTCTTTCGTCTACATTATTTCCAAAAAAAAAAAAACACAAACAATCTAGGGTTGATAGGTAAGAATCTCACAAATCTATTTTTCTTTCTTTTCTGTTTGTCAATCATCAAAAACAATTTATAGACTGATACACTCATGCTAAGAACAAGTTTCATGACCATCCAACATTTTTCCCTCGGTTATAAAGGGTGGAGCCACCAATGGGCCAAGGGGATACCTAACCACCTTGAATTTTTTAATATATTTTATGGTGCCCACCTTATGACTTTCTTGTTGCAATAGTGACTTTTTGATCATATGAGCAGCAATTGGCATGTAATCGCATTTTCATTGTTTTTTATTGTGCTAATGCCTTGTGCAACTGGTCTTGACTTGCATATTTACGGCATTTTTGGTTTCTGAAATTACTTGTAATTAACGTGCAATTGACCTCTATTTTTCTACGACTATTGATTGTGGTGGTGGTTGTGTTTCAACCAGATTTAAATGGGTACTGTTATGCTTGCCTCTTGAATTTTTATTCAATGGCTTTGGCATTTTCTCCTAATAACATATTTTTTTGATAGGAAAAGATAGATTATTACTAAATTGAGAGTATAAATAGTACATGAGAGGACCCAAAAAATATATATATATATTCAAACCTAGAAGTCATTTGGGAAAGTCAACAGTTGCAGGAAGCCAAATATGAGAATCTCTATGACTCGATTCTACGATAAACGAGGGCACTAAAATAACAAGCAGATTTAGACAAAAATGCTTAAAAAGTAAAGCCAAGGGACATAGATAAAAGAGTATCAGACACGTGTCTCAGAGTGTCCAAGAAGCGTGTCGGACACAGATATGTTACCTTCTTGAGAGTGTCCATGCTTTATAGACACAACTGGAGCTTTATTGCCTAAAATTGCCTTATCACAGATACTTCATAACACCATGACTGACTCTTTCAGGCCATTATGTCATGTGGGAAACTAACAGCAAAGTGTTCAACATAAATGGGAATACAAAGCAAAAGAAAAAAAGGAACAAAAACTAACCTTTTATAACGATTATGTACAAGCAGAATCAACGGACTGATGTCCTTGAACACAGTCTCTTCCCATTCTTTAGTGTTGATGTCTTTGATTGGACGAATATAATCATCATCTTGCCAAACCAATTCATTTTCACTATCATAATTCTCATCATCATCCTTCTTGGCATTCTTAATGGTAATCTTGTTGAAAAACTGACCCAAGTTAAAACCCCAACCATCAGCATCTTCAGGCCAGTCAGGGTCATCCTCCTCAACCACAAGAGGGTAATCAGCCAAAAGCTTTTCCATCCTCTTCCGCCTCTCAATTGCGTCTAGCTCTTCCTCAACATCAGGGTTCATATCAATCACTTCTCTAATCTTTCTCCTCCATTCTTTCCTCTCATCCTCATCCATAATCAAAGGATCATCCTCAACATCACTCCCACTAGATTCTCCTCCTCCCTGTTCATTTCCATTGGCAGACTCGAGTATTTGTTCCAATTTAGAAGCTCTTAATCCACTCCTTCTGAAACCAGTCGCCGGCTTTCACATCCAAATCCATAAGAAAGATTATACAACAATATAATAAAACATGCTGAATATTAAAGTAAATTCTAAATAAAAAGAAAAAGGAAAAGAGGAAGGAACACACCAATGAACGTACCTTGAAAAAGTTTGGTGACGACAGACCACGACACTTCATACTAGAGGAAGAAATGATAGTGTTGTTCTTTCTTTTTCTCCAACGAGGACAAGTACCAGCGGAAAAAGGAAAATCTCCTATTCTTTTCTCTATTACAGAAGAGAACAAAGGTTGTAATCTTAGAGTATCTTGCAGAGCCATTTCTACAGCAAAAATGCAAAAACAAAATTAGCAAAAATCAAAGCCAAACTGAGCTCGAATGCTCAACTAGTTTCCAAGTAATTGACCCATTTCCCTACGCAAAGTGAAAGTATAAGCTCTCAATTACTAATCCGCATGTAGTTAAAAAAAGAAAAGAAAAAGAGAAAGGTTATATAAAAGCACAAGAAATTGCACGTGCCTAAAGATACTACGTAATAAACAAAAAACCGTGAATAATTGCCGATGCTTGACAACCTAATATGTTTTTTCCTTCCTGAACTAAAATAATCCAATCTTTAGCTATTCCCCAAAGCAATGATGTCCAAATTTCTAATTTAGTGCATAATTAAAACTAAAACCAACCTCAATAAAAATAAATTTTGAAGCCACAAAATTCATTATCATACATTCCCAACATCAACACAATCAAATTTTAAAATTCGGACCAAATCACCTCAATCTTTACTAAAATTGAATAAGAACAACAAACTATCCACTAAAAACATTTCATAGATATGAATCATACATGACATGACATGGCATGGGTCTAGCTTATTGATACGTTCCAAAAAATTCTACTTGAATCCATTTGATTTTTTTTTTTTTTACCGATAAAATCCATGCTCACTTCATTATAGACTAAAAACACCGTGTAAAATTAGAATAAAAATAAATAACGTTTTTATATAATTATAATCAAATAAAAACAAATATTTAACCGCAATGTGTCGCTTTCAAGAAATGAGCTTCCATTGGCTTTGAAGAGAAAATCCAAACAATATCTATACTTGTCCAATTGACGAAGTCTCTACTGCCAAACCATACCAATCCAAACCGCATGTCCCAATCATTTGGGGTCAGCTATATGAGTTGTCTTTGCTATTCATTTCGGTCATACGCTATACATTTATTTAAGTTAAATATTTTAACATTTTTTCTTATTATTTCGTTCAATGTTAATTTAGGTCTACCTCTACTCTTAATACCATTAAGAAAAATTCTATCACTTTTTCTAACTAGTGCCTCTATCAGCCTCCGTTGAATATGACCAAACCATTTTAATCTATTCTCTCTCAACTTATCCTCAATTGGATCTACTCCTACCATTTCTCTAATACGGTTATGTCGTATTCTATCATTTCTAGTTTTTTCACACATCCACCTTAACATTCTTATTTTCGTTACATTCATTCTGTCACTATGTTATTTCGTAGTTGCCCAACATTCTATCTCATACAACACTGCCGTCTTTATAACCGTTCGGTGGAACTTGCCTTTCAATTTTGTTGGTATCCTTCTATCAAATAATGTCCAAGACTTTCCTCCACTTAAGCCAACTGAACTGGCATTGATTCTATGAGTTATATTGTCTCCGATCTCTCCATCATTTATAATGATCGATCATAGATATCTAAATCATTCACTCGTTGATATTTTTTTATTTTCAATCTTAACTTTTTCACTATGTTTATTTCTTCTATTACTAAAATTGTATTACATGTATTCAGTCTTACTCCTACTTATTTTTAAACCCTTTTGACTAGAGTGTCTCTCTCCAAATTTTTAACTTATTGTTAATCCCCTTCGAGTTTCATTTACTAAGACAATATCTTCTGCAAAAATCATATGCTTAGTAAGTTCATCCATAATTAGGTAGGGTGAATAGGTATGAACTTAAGGCTAATCCTTGGTGTAATTCCACTGTGATTGAAAATTCTTTACTTTCTCTCATAAAAGACCTAATTGTAATCATAACTCCATCATACATGCCTTTTATCACCTTAATATACCTATTCGTCAGTCATTTTCTCTCAAGCACCATCCATATTATATTTTTAGGCATTTTACATATACCTTTTCAAGAACTATTACTACCATATAAAATTTTTTCTTCTTCTCTCTATACTTTTATATGAGTATCCTTAGTAAATATATAGCCTCCATAGTTGATCTACTAGTCATAAATCCAAACTGATTTTTCGAAACCATAGTCTCACCTCTTAGGCGACGTTTAATGACCATTGCTCATAGTTTCATTGTATAACTCATCAATTTTATCCTTCTATAATTATTACAATTTTAAATATTTCTTTTATTTTTATAGATAGGTACTAAAATACTCTTTCTCCATTCATCGGGCATTTTTCTATTAGCAATAATTCTATTGAATAATTTTATTAGCCACGACACCCTATCATTCTCTAAGCACTTACAAACCTCAATTGAAATCTTATTTGGTCCTAAAGCCCTGTCTAATTTTATTTTATTCAATACAATCTCTACCTCCAAATTATTTATTCTACAAAAAACGCGTGTGCTCTAATTTTCATGAATCCTACCATTTTCTATCTCTTCTAAAATTTATAAGTGATTTTCATTTAATAGTTTCTCAAAATAGTATTTCCACCGATCATTTATTTCTTCATCCTTAACTAAATCCTTAGAATCTTCGCCCTTGATGCACTTAACTTAGTTAAAGTCTTTTACTTTTCTTTCTCTAGTTTTAGCTAGTTTGTAGATATCTTTTTCTCCCTTTTCACTTTGACCATTTAGGCTAAAGAATCATCGCATCAAATCGACTGTCACGCCAATTTTTCAATCCAAATAAATTTTCAAATGAAGTGAGGAAGAATTGAATCTCACTTCCTATTTATTTACTATCCCTCAAATTTATGTTTGAATCTTCTCGGTATGTTCATTGCACAACAATGTAGTAAGACTAAATGCAAAAACATACAACACTATCACACCCGATTAGAATCAAAATAGATAACTACAATCTACATTCTAGTTTAATGCCAAAAAGTAAGCGGAGGGGTGGGTGGATACATATTCACATTAAGATAAATTTATCTCTTAAAAATACACATATAGCAAAAACTCTATGCTAATTTTTTTTTAAAAAAAAACAATAGCAAAAACACACATTTACCAAACTTATCTATTGAAAATTCACATATAGCAAAAACACAAACATGCATTCATATAGCAATAAGAAAGCTTGACCGTTAAATTGCATTTGCTCTTTTGAGCCTATTTCCTCAAGTTTTCCCAATTCAATTCCTCTAATATCTCCATATAAGCTCATACTAAGTCTTGCAGCAGAAAAACCAAAAAACAAAATGCAAGATGGCAGCGGGGAAGATGTTAGTCAAAAATATCATGGGTTTATGCATGAAAGGATCATTGGGTTTATGCATGAGATACAATACAAACAAACAATAAACAATGCATAGGCTTTTCTACATACTGGCAACACATTTTATGCCAAACAGACATGGGAATGGGGATCCACAAACTAATCTACCCAATCCCTCCATATTATCCACTACAATCTTCAAAAAAAGAAAAGAAATCTACACAATTCAAGCCATTAATCTTTCAAGATCACAACCACTGTACACAAAAAGCAATGTACTCAATACATTACTGAACTTCTCAAAAAGCTATTGAAACTAAGGAACTTTTACAATCCCGCTAAGATCCAAACCAAATATAAAATCATCACAAACAACATTAGTTAAAAAAATACAAAACTCAAATTGTCAGAGTAGTCATGCTCTGTCCAGTTGCCACAGAACCAAAGAATTCCTTCTATCCCCTAATTATTTCAGCAAACAAATGAAATCTTACAAATTAAAATGAATAAAAAATAAACTAACCAATTGACCTCCTTGGATCCACCACTGGACTAAGCACCACAGAAAAATGGCCAATGNCAATAGCAAAAACACACATTTACCAAACTTATCTATTGAAAATTCACATATAGCAAAAACACACACATGCATTCATATAGCAATAAGAAAGCTTGACCGTTAAATTGCATTTGCTCTTTTGAGCCTATTTCCTCAAGTTTTCCCAATTCAATTCCTCTAATATCTCCATATAAGCTCATACTAAGTCNACAATAGCAAAAACACACATTTACCAAACTTATCTATTGAAAATTCACATATAGCAAAAACACAAACATGCATTCATATAGCAATAAGAAAGCTTGACCGTTAAATTGCATTTGCTCTTTTGAGCCTATTTCCTCAAGTTTTCCCAATTCAATTCCTCTAATATCTCCATATAAGCTCATACTAAGTCTTGCAGCAGAAAAACCAAAAAACAAAATGCAAGATGGCAGCGGGGAAGATGTTAGTCAAAAATATCATGGGTTTATGCATGAAAGGATCATTGGGTTTATGCATGAGATACAATACAAACAAACAATAAACAATGCATAGGCTTTTCTACATACTGGCAACACATTTTATGCCAAACAGACATGGGAATGGGGATCCACAAACTAATCTACCCAATCCCTCCATATTATCCACTACAATCTTCAAAAAAAGAAAAGAAATCTACACAATTCAAGCCATTAATCTTTCAAGATCACAACCACTGTACACAAAAAGCAATGTACTCAATACATTACTGAACTTCTCAAAAAGCTATTGAAACTAAGGAACTTTTACAATCCCGCTAAGATCCAAACCAAATATAAAATCATCACAAACAACATTAGTTAAAAAAATACAAAACTCAAATTGTCAGAGTAGTCATGCTCTGTCCAGTTGCCACAGAACCAAAGAACACCTTCTATCCCCTAATTATTTCAGCAAACAAATGAAATCGTACAAATTAAAATGAATAAAAAATAAACTAACCAATTGACCTCCTTGGATCCACCACTGGACTAAGCACCACAGAAAAATGGCCAATGCTTACGCTCTTATCATACCGTTACCGTCTTCATGACCTATACCACTCAAACAAATGTAAAACCAATTAATGATTAAATAATGAGTAAGCCATATGTTTTTTATGTAGTAGAGAGAACAAATAGGCTTACATTTGAAAGAGCATGATTCCTTAAGTGCTCTAAATCAATTGGCTTTAATTGCTATGAAATGTGAACTAATTATATGTAAAACAAAGAGGTAAACTTATGCTATATCCAAGTGAAGTTGACAACAATACAGAAGCATCAGTGTGCAAGGTAAAAACACGAAGCAAACTTTATAGGCCACAAGGATGTAGGCATATCTGATGATAAACTCAATCACAATACCAACTCTTACTAAAGTTGGTAGCAGAAGAACCCAAATGACCTGAATTCTCTTTTACAATGACTAAACTGTTTGTTCGAGGGGAGACGATATATTCAAATAAATCTAGCAATAACCCATGCCTGAAAAATTCATGTAACGCAAATAATTAAGCACTTAAAAATTACCCAGAGCTATAGTAGAAGGAAAAAAACTACCTCACATCTCATGTTTAGTTATGAGCAAAAATTTGATACTAAATAGTGGCAATCTAAGATTTAAAAAATTGTTTGCCTTTAGTCATAAATATGATACAGGAACGATTCAAAAAGAAATTTGAAAGCAAATAAGCCACTCATCCNAATTTTATTTTATTCAATACAATCTCTACCTCCAAATTATTTATTCTACAAAAAACGCGTGTGCTCTAATTTTCATGAATCCTACCATTTTCTATCTCTTCTAAGATTTATAAGTGATTTTCATTTAATAGTTTCTCAAAATAGTATTTCCACCGATCATTTATTTCTTCATCCTTAACTAAATCCTTAGAATCTTCGC